GTGGTGTGCAGACCCCCAGCTTGGAGAAGGGCCTGCTGTGCTGGGAGAGGGTGACCTGTAGCCCCTGGGCACACCCATGTGGCCCATTCCATACCCAGGCATCCCTAAAGACATCCGGGAGATGCTGCCTGGTCCAGGAAGGGTTTGTTTCAGGACAAAGTTATTAAGTGATGAAACCCCACTCTTCAGAAGAGACAGCCCTTATCCAGCACTCCCTGGCACGGCTGTTTATTGGGAATGGTGTGAATTAACATCCCTTTCCCTCCCAACACACACGCCAGGCCACCCCAGCCCCGAATCCCGCACCCGCTTCCCTCATCTCCCATTGAGAGGCTTTAAAAGCTCTTTATTTCCAAGTGCTGCTCAGCAGGAGTCAAGCTGGGTCCTGCCAAGTGTTAAATGAAATAATTAAAATCCCCACTTTCCCCCCCCTCCCGCTCCTTTCTCCCTAATGCTGGTAATTAGCCTGTAAAACTGCAGGAGGGGATGGGGAAGGGAGGACGTGCAAACGCCTTCTGCAGCCTCCCTCCTCCTCCTCCTCCTCTTCTGCCTTCCCCGAGGAAGCACAAAATGGCTCTCCAGGCGTTGGGTGCTGTCAGATAAATCCCAATTAGCTCCCTGCCAAACAGGATTAGCGAGAAGGGAGCCAGGTGGGGAATCAGCCTGGCAACAGCGGGAGCTGGGGGGCTCCCGCCCGGCATTGACTGGCAGCTGCCAGTCAGCTCCCAAAACAGCTCTGCTTTTGGGTGCTTCAGGCTGCTACGTGGCATCTGGGAGGCAGAAACAAGGGAGGTGAAGCAAAATCAAGCCGTGTCTCCCTGCTGGTGTTATCCCTTCCCGAGGAATTGGCGGCTGTGAGGTGCCCGGGATGAGGTCGGAGCAGGGATGCAGGGCAGTGTGTGAGGGTCCTGCTGCTGCGTCCTGCCAGCTCTGTGCTTCAGAACCAAGAGGATAAACCCCCACCATCCTGCCCCACTGCTCTCAGCCAGCTGCACCCAGCCCCTCCTGCCCGGCTGCCGCGGTTTTTTGGCACCGGCGGCGACATCCTGGCTGTGAAAGCCCAGAAATAAACCCATTAACAGCACCAGCTTTGAGCTGCCTGGTGACCACACGGAGCCCTTAATGCACTGAACACTTTCATTTGGAAAACTGGGCAGGGGGCAATGTGGATTAGCTCAAACAGAATGTTTTCCTGCCTGTAGCAGGGGAGCAGCAGCTGTGGGTGAGTGGTAAATTGGGCTGTCCCTTGTCCCTCCCTCCTCTCTCCTGGCAGATGTGGTGACTCTCTGCCTCTTGCACCCTGCTGGGGATGAGCATCCTCTGGACACCCACAGCCTCAGCCAGGCTGCTCCCAGTCCTGAGGAGGAGGAGGAGGAGGAAGGGGAGAAAGGCTGTTGGTGCAGAGGTGCAGTGTTGTCAGAGTGGGGGTGATGGGAGCTGGACTGCTCTGGAGCCTTGGTGTGGCTGAGGGATAAGGGATGAATCCCCTCTGCCTGGGCTGTTCCATCCCAGTATGGACAGGGACAGATGTAGTGGTACTGGGAGGGGGCCAAGCTATCCTGGGTCAGTTGGGAAGCAAAGGTGGGTTTTATGTGTTCTTTTGCCTTGCCAGGTCTTGCTGGATTGTCCTGCCCAGTCCTTCCTGTCTGAAGGACATGACTGGAGTGTAAAGGGAAGTGGGCACAGTGGGCAGAGGGAGCAGGTGGGAGTTGAGGTGTCCCTGGCACCAAAGGACGTGGTGAGGGTGTGGCAGCTGTGCAGGGTGTGTGCTGCCAGCTCTGGGGAAAGGGACAGTCACAGGCAAAAATGACATCCCACGTGGATGGACCAGGCAAGGGTGATGCCTCCCCAGTGCAAATGGCTCTTCTGGTCCTGGAGTCTCACCCAAAAGCCTCGCAAGGGGCAAAGGCAGAAGCGTTCGTCCTTCCCAAGAGGGTGATGAACCAGTCTGTCCCTGCTGGAGTTTGAACCTGCCTCCCCCAGGACACAAAGGCTGCTCAGATCCCAGGCAGGGCCGCCCCTAGAAGTGGCCCCCAAATGGCTGGAGGGGACAGAGCCGTGGCAGACCCGGGAAGAAAGGGAGGACTGTGCGGTGGCTGATTTGCATGTGAAAACACGCGCGGGGAGGATGCAAATGCCCTCGCTTCCCTTTGGGGGATTTTTCAAAGCCAAGCCTGTGGCCTTAGCCTGCATGTGCTAGGATTGCGTGGCTGTGAAGCCCCACCCGGGGAGGGGGTGAAGCCCGGGGAGGGGAAGGATGTGGAGCAGGCCAGGAGGGAAAAGCGATGCTGCTGGGGCAGCGCCCTGGTGAAGGCATCAGGCAGGACTTTGGCACCTGTGTCCCAGGACACAGTGGAAGGATGCAGGACCAGGCCAAGTGGCCACACAGTGGCCAAGTGGAGGAGAAGACCAGGGGACTGCTCATTTTTTGGGTTTTTTTTGGCTTCTTGTGTGATGCTCCAGAAATTCCCACGGGGCTGCGGCGGCCGGGGAGGGAACCAGAAATGGGGCAGCAGTGACAGAGACTTGAGTTTATGCTTCAAGGGAAAAATACCGTGTTGGAGGCTCCATCCTCTCCCTGGCAGAGGGCTTTGCTCCTGAGGGGGCTCCTGAGGTGGTTCCCAGCAGGGGTCTGCTTGGCAGAGGCAGCCTGGCAGAGCGTTTCCTGCTGAGCCCTCTCATGGCACTTGGGCTCTCAGAGGCTCTTCTCAGCCTGTGTGTGCCTGAGGAGAACGTGTCCCAGGGTGCCCAACGATCTGCCTTCCCCCTTGGACACAGGGCCATCAGCCCCCTGCTCCTGGGCTCTCCTGGCTGGGTGGTTGGGATGCTTGGGATGCAGCCCGTGCCTCTCAGCAAGCTGGGATCATGTTCTGGAGCCCTCAGGGAGAGGAGGGAGCAACGCAGGTTTAAAGAGGAGCAATCTCTGGGACGTGACTTGGATTTTTTTCCCCTCTCTGTTCTCTGCTTCTCTCCTTCCCTGTTCTGCTTTTGGCAAGGTGCACTTGCAGTGCTGGGACACCCAGGATGCCCCCAGCCCACGGAGAGAGAGGAGCAGCGTGGCTCTGTGGGGTGGCTGTGGGGCAGCCTGTGCCAACCCCACACAGAGACCCCAGGACTTGCTGGCTTGTGGTGCCTGAGGTGCCCCACGGAAGGACCACCCAGTCTCCTCCACATCTCCCCGTGGGAGGGGAGGGTGGGTGGATTCTTTAGTGTTTGTGTCCCTCGGGCTCCAGGCGGATTGCCAAGGTGAGAGAAGGAGGGAGGAGGCTGGGCTGGGAGGGGGACCTGCAGCTGGCAGGGGGTGTTCTCCCGTCTCAGGTTGTTGCTTTTTGGAGGAGTGGGTAGCAGGAATGCTGCTGGGCAGCCCCTGCAGGCCTGTAGCTGCCTGGAGGGAGCCACAGCACCCAGACATCCCAGTGGGAGAGGAGAAGGCCCTGGGTCTGTGTGGTGGCTGCTGCCGTGGCCAGGAGGAAGCTGTGCTTCCCTTGCTGGCTGCAGCACATGCTGAGCGTGTGGAGACAGGAGGAACCTGAAACAGCTTCTCTGCAATGAACTTCCCAGTTTGACCACAGTGGGGTTACCCAGTGCCACGTCCCCACAGTGTTCCTTTTGCCCTGTGAGCACAGGACGGGAGTTTGATGATCTTGCCTTGCCTTGCACATGACACAGCTGGATACAGAGAGCCCCTCCATAGCACCTGAGGGACAGGGGAGACCACAGGAGCCCTCCTGTCCCCTGGCTTGGATGATAAACCAGCCTCTGGAATGGCAGGGCTGCGTAGAGTCAGCTCAGGCTGTGTTCAGGTGGCTCTGTGACTGGAGGACCTTCCTCTTGCTGGGTTTTTTTTGGACTCTCCAGAGCTGCCGTCTCTCTCCGTGGTGGGGAAGAGCTCAGCCCTGTTTACTAAGGACTGTGGTGGCTTAGAAATGAGGTGGCAGGTCATGGTGCCCTAAATGTGGGGTACCAAGGGCAGGGAAATGGCTTGCTGGGAGCTGTGTGTTTTGCCAGGAATGCTGTTCCCACCTGAGTGGAGAGCAGGGATGGAGTGGAGGGCCTGGGAGCCTGGATTTGTCATGTGGGCACCAGGGACTGCTTAGGCTGCAGAAGGGCTCTCATTCCGTGGCTGGACCTTCACTCCAGCAGGCTCTTGGCCCTGACCTCCCTCTGGCTCTCAGCCCAGCTGTCCTCGTGCCACCTTTCCCATCCTTGCTGGCAGCATCCTGCCCAAGGGAAGCAGGAGGAGGGCACAGGAGCACACGGGTAGGGAGCAGCACGGAGTGTATCTGTGTCCTGGCACCTCTTCTCTCCCCTCCCGTGCTCTCTGGCAGTGCCAGCAGGGACCCAGAGAGGTCCCTACAGCTGGGTCCTGCTCCGTGCGGGTCTGTCCCCCTCCCTCCACAACCGATGTCCTAAAAAACAGCAACCAGGGGTTCTCCTGCTCTTTGCATAGCTCTGCCGTCCCTGGGGGTCTCTCCGGGGTGGGCGATGCTGGGATGGGGGGTTGGGGAGGCAGTCTCTCCGCCTCTCAGCATCTCGAGTGGGCGGGCGGGCTGGGGCGGGGAGATGGGCTCACCCCCTCCCACCCTCCCACCTTTCCACCCCCTGCCCGCCGGGATTCACCCCGGGGAGGGGGGAGGGCAACCAGGAGGGGAGGGACCCTCCGGGGCGGAGTGCCGCGCCCCTGCCCTGCCCACGCGTGTGTCCCGGGGGAGCGGGGGCAGCGCGACCCCCGCCGCCTCCCGCTCTTTGTCTGCGCCGCGCCCCTGCGCCCCCGCTCCCCTTTGTTGGCCGCCGAGCGCTCGGAGGGGCTCGGTGTGTCCCCCCCTCCCCTTGCCGGGGTCGAGCCGAGGGGCGGAGGGAGGGGAGGAGGAGGAGGAGGAGGAGGAGGAGGGAGGGGGGGACACGGGCGGGGAAGCTCCGGGGCGCGGGGCGGGCGCTCCGGGTCCGCTCCGTTGTCTTGATGCTGCGCGGCCCCTTCCCCGCGCGTGGGGCGGGCGGAGACCGCCGGGATTAGGGGATCCATCCCCTCATCCACGCGTTCACCCACCCACCCATTCGCCCACCCACTCGCCCGCCCGCCCAGGCAGCTCCCATCGCTCCCCGCAGCGCCGCTCCATGCCGGGCTCCACGCGGAGCCGGGATCTCTCCGGGAAGGGCTGGCATGTCCCAGCGGCGTGAGGCGGGGAGCCGGCTCCCTCCGGGGAGGGTGCCCGTGCCGAGGGGGCCGAGGAGGGCTGTGGTGGCCCCTCGCTGCTCGCCGGAGGGTTGGGAAGGTGCCGGGGAGCTGGCGGAGGAGGGACGGCGAGGGAGCGCCGAGCGCCGGCTGGCCGGGAGGAGCGCGGAGCGGAGCGGGGATGGATGTGCCGCGGCCGTGAGAGGAGCCTTGGCGTGGGAAAGGGAGTGTCTGCCTTCGGCCGGAGCGTGGGACAACTGAGCCGGCACCTTCTGGGCTTCTGCTCCCGGGATCTTGGGCTGCTGCCCCCGGAATTTTTGGCTCCGAGGACCTGCGGAGGGTCGGAGGCTGCTGGACGCGGGCTCACCTGTCCCGGAGGAGAGCGCGGACAGCGGGGGGAAGCTCCGTGTTTCTGGAGCGAGGATCTGAGAGCTGAGAGGCGGCTGCCGGGGTGGTCAGATCCCTTGCCATCCCTGCCGAGAGGATACGGATTTTCCAGATGCTGCGAGCCTGAGGAGAGGGGTCCCGTGCTGATCCCCCCGTCCCTGTCCCAGCCCCGCTGCCGGGAGCCAGCGCCTGTCGGTGCCGTTCCCACACCAGCAGCAGCTCGTCCCCGTCCCGGTGGGCTTGGCCGTGGAACTTGAGCTCTCTCAGCGCTGGGGTTGTTGTTTGCTTTCTGCAGGCAGGTGTGGATTGACACCTTCCGGGCTGCCAGAGGGACTGCTGAGCACGGGAGCGCTGCACGTCCCTCTGGAGCGGGCTCGGACCTCACCCCAGGCTGTGCCTCTGGGATATGGCAGCCGTGGGCACAAACTCCTGCCCCTGAAGGTGCCCCCCCAGCCCGCCCTGCCCTCCTGCGAGCCGAGATGGGAACCTCTGGGAAAACTTAGGTTTTCCTGAAGACGCCCGGGGAGGGGAGGGAAGAGGGATCCATGTGAGCCTCGTGGCTGCCGTGCCGTGGATGGATGGACGGTGGGCTGAGCGTGGTGGCCCAGCATGACAGCCTGCCAGTACCCCATGGCGCCGGGGGCCCTGGAGCGGGACCGGCTGTACCAGCACAAGGTCTCCTTGGTGGTGCGGTACTTCATGATCCCCTGCAACATCTGCCTCATCCTCCTGGCCACCTCCACGCTGGGATTTGCCGTGCTGCTCTTCCTCAATAACTGTAGGTGTCCCCCGGGCGCGCCGGAGGCCGGGGAGGGACAGGCAGGGACAGGCAGGGACAGGCAGGGCTGGGGTCAGCCCGGGCTCCCAGCGCTGCCAGCTCGGCTTCACCGGGGAGCTCAGCACTTGCCTGGGGAGGATCCAGGGAGGTGACAGCTCCACAGCTCTGCCCCACTTTTCCCTGCCGTGCTGTTGGCCCCGAAGGGTGGAGCGGAGCTGGGAGGGTGGGTGTGTGTGGGCCGGCCCAGCTCCCCCCCCTGCAGGGTGCTCTGAGCTGTGCCAGCACTCTGGGTGTGCCTTGTCCCGTCCCCAAAATACTGCGTCCTGCTGTGCTGCTTGAGGTCCGAGTGTGGGGGATGCTCTGGGGGGATGCAGCCAGCCCGTTTGGGAGCTGGGGATCTCAGCAGGGCTCCTGGGAGTCCTGCCCTGGCCAAGGACTGCTGCTCCCTTGTCCCAAGCTGGACCTTGGAACCCTGTCACTACATATAGGTGGGAATGTGTCTCCCAGGCTCCCTGCTCTCTTGCTTTGAGGAATAAAGGTGGGGGAGTTTTCCCTGAGGCTGGATTGTTTAACTGATCCCTGCTGTGGCTGAGTAGATCCCACATTTGGGCGTGGATATATCCACGTATTGCTGCTGTGCTCTGTTACCTCATCCCTGCACAGGTGCTCATCTCTCCCTAGGCACAGCCTCTGGAGGAGTATTCCATCACACAGTGGTGTCTTTGACCTCCTTGATGCTGGAAAGTGCCAAACACCTGCTGTGAGAAAAGCCTTTAGAGGGCAGGCGAATCCTCCAGCCTGGCTTTGGGATGCGCCGCCTCCCCGTTGTTTGGGAAAAAGCTCCGTGTAAAACTGTCAAACACACGGATGCATTTACAAAGGCTGGCAGGAGCAAGGCCCAGGTGACAGAGCGGTGCCACCTCTGTCACTGCCTGGCTTTGCTGCCCTGGGCACATCTCTGATAGAGAGCAGAGCCCAGCTGGACACTGGGTTTAGGGTGTTCCTCACCCAGGATGGGAGGGTCTGTGGAGATCTGAGTGGAATCTTTCTCACCCCCCTGCTTAGTCAGACGTAGAGGGCTGGCAGGTGGCAAGGCTGTGCCACCTTCCTCTGGGACCTACAGTTGTTCCCATGGGAGTGTTCACCTTCTGCTGCCCCAGGCTACCCCTTTCCCCCACTTTTTGGAGGCCCTGCTCAACCCACATGACCTGGTGAGTCCACGCCCGGGTGTTTGTGAGGGGAGACACGGCAGGATTGGCATCACAGCCCCCGTGGGATGGCACAGGACGGGCTGAGACAAGCCCCAGCCCTGCCAGGCACAGAGGGCTGCTCCCAGATCCCACACCAGAGATGCTCCATCGATACCAGTGGGAGAGCTGGGGCTCCTGGATCCCGTTCCTGCTGCTCCCTTCTCGCTGCGAGACCTCCCGGGCTGTCCCTGGTAGTCAAACCCCTGTGTGAAGGGCACGTGGAAGGGATGAAATACTGGTCCAAAAGCTATGGACAGAGGTCTGGGAGGAGGAGGGAGCATCCAAAGGGACCTGCTGACAGCCCCCTGTTTTTTGTTTCTTTGCAGACAAGCCCAACAGTTACTTCACTCAGACGCCGCCGACGCCGCGGGATGGTGAGTACAACTCCCTGCTGGAGCCCGGCCCTGGCCTTGGGATGCACTGGAGAACAGGTTGAGCCTCTCCTGCCTCCTGCAGCTGCTGGGGGAGCAGTGTCTCCTGACCCACTGATCTATTTTTGCAGCTGCCTGGCTGCTCTCTGTGCCCAGAGCAATCCTGCATCATGGCCTTGCCCCTGCCAAGGGATGCAGGATCATCCCTCCGGGATGAGGAGAGGACAGAGTGATGTCCCTCGTTGCTCCATGGAAGAACAGCAACCCTTTTCCTACAGAGGGTTTCCTGGGTGGCTGTGGTAGAAGTGGAGAAGGGCTGGAAAGGGTCCTTCCCAGGGAGGGCAGAGAAGGGATCCAGGATCATCCCTCCAGGATGAGGAGAGGTGTCCCTCGTTGCTCCATGGAAGCAAAGCAACCCTTTTCCTGCAGAGGGTTTCCTGGGTGGCTGTGGTGGAAGTGGGGAAGGGCTGGAAAGGGTCCTTCCCAGGCAGAGGAGGTGGGACAGCACCTGGGACCTGAATTTTCTCTGGATCTGTGATCCTTGCCTGTGGATTGCTTCTCCCCTGTGGATTCCTGGTGTCTCATCAGCTGTGCTCTCACCAGCACCTCACATCATTGCTCAGGGCTTGCTAAAACCTTCTGATTTCACAGACCTGGAGGAACTTTGTGTTTTTTTGAGGCCAGGCTGTTATCAGCCAGAGGCTTTAAAGGCTGTTGGATGCAGGCAGGCAAGCCCAGGCTAAGATAATGTCATCACAGGAGCTTTGTTTCCTCAGAAAAATCAGGCTTAAAATGCCCTGCCTTTCCTGGCAGGCTCTTGAGCCACCTTCCCCAGCCTCCCCAGCTTCACGTGCAGAGATAAGAACCCAGCAGAAAACAGCAGCCAATTAATAACCTGTTTGTTGCCTTTTTTCTTGCCTTCTCTGGTTGGGGGCGGGGAAGGAGGCGGGGGGGAGAAACGGATGCGAGATAAAATGTGATTAATCTATAATTGGACCAGAGGAGACATCTAAAGCCAAAATAAAAACTCACGTAGGTGGAACTCCTAGCTCAGGGCTCCAAAATATTAACAGCCCAGCCCATCCAGATGCTATACTCCAGAAGATCCCTGGTCCCCCACAGGAGATGGAAAACTACCACCCTTGGGAGGCTGCCAGACGAGGCACCTCCATTGCAAGTCTCTGTGTGGGGTAAATGCCTTGTGTGGCCTTTGGGAGGTGTTTTTGGGGGCACAGGGGGCATGGGAAGAGGGTCCCTCTTGGGGTGAAGGGGCTGGTTCTTGCTGGTTCTGCTGTGCTGGAGGGACTGGCTGGTCTGTGCCAGCTGAGGATCCACAGCTTGGGATTTCTGCCTGCCAGCCCTGCTGCTGGGGAGATTTGCTGTGGTCCTCTCCCCTTCCTGCAAAGCTGGACAGAACCATTGTCTGTCCTGGCAAAGTCAGAGCTCAGTTTTTGGGTGAAGGAAGTGGCTTTCTACACCTTGGGCATCTCTTCTGTCAAGTCCCTGTCGCTGCCCCGGTGCTCCAGTGGTGCTGGAGGTGACAAACTTTGCCAGCCAGCAGGGAGGTGTCTCTAATCAGCATTAGCTGTGCCAGGGGAAGTTTAGGTTGGATGTTAGGATTAGGTTCTTCACCCCAGGCACTGGAACAGGCTCTTCAGGGCAGTGATCACGGCCCCAAGGCTGCCAGAGCTCAAGGAGTGTTTGGACAACACCATCAGACACGTGGTGGGGTTGTTGGGGTGTCCCGTTGGACTCCGTGATCCTTGTGGGTCCCTTCCAACTCGGGTTATTCCATGTGTGCTTCTCTGATTTGTGTGCTATTTACCTCTTCCTTCTCTTGCAATTCCAATTTCTGCAGCACAAAACCCGTCAGCCACACATTGATTTATAGAGTGGTCTCTGCTTCGTTTGGAAACAAGGCCATTAACGCTGTTAACTCGCTGCTTTCTCCCAAATCTCCAGTGCCTCTGGCATTCCCGTGCCTGGGCAGGGGATTATTAGGCTGGATAGAGTCTTGAGGCCTGGCTGACTTAGCTGCAGTGCTCCATGAAAGCTGCTGCCTTGTCCCCAGCTCAGGGACTGGCCTGGGGCGCCCAAGCTGGATAATTCCTCTCCTCCCTCCCTGCTGGAGCATCTGTGCAGGGAGCGGGAGAGGGGGCGGATGTTGGCTCAGCTGCCACCCCCCAGGGCAGCAGGAGGGGGCTGGCAGGTGTGGGCAGGGGGCAGGCAGGGTGGGCTCTGCCTTGCCCGAGTCCCCTGAGGGGGGAAAAAGGAAACGGTGGGGGAGGATTTGGAGGGTTCCTCCTCGCCTCTCCTTGTTCTTGGCTTTCTGTTTGTGTGCAGCGTCCCTCGGTGGTTGGGAGGCAGGACTGCTGGGCAGGTTTGCTCTGGGGAGCGCAGGGAGAACAGGAAACCCTCTCTGAGACCTGCTGAGAGCTGGGCTGGCTGCTCAGGGGTGGGGGCATCTGTAGGATGAAGTGCCAGGCTCTCCAGGTCAGATCCTTGTTATCCTTCTCTTCTTGCCACCTTTTTCCTGCTGCCGGGGGAAGAATTGCCTTGGGCTTACAAGTCGTGTAAGGTGCTTCCCTCCCCTTCCCTGCCATGCCCTCCCCACCCCTGGAATTGTCCAAGGCCAGGCTGGAGCAGCCTGGTCTAGTGGAAGGTGTCCCTGCCCGTGGCAGGGGGTGGAATGAGATGGGTGTTAAGATCCCTTCCCACCCAGACCATTCCGTGATTCCAGGTGTGCTGAGGGCTGGGGCTGAGTCTCACCTCAGGACACGTCTGTGCTGTCCATAACCACCTCCTGCTGCTGAAAATACAGGGAGAAAATACAGGGAGACAGCCTTGGGGGCCTTTGGTGTCTCACTTTTGCCCAGGTGGCTCTGGGCAGCTCTGTGCCTGCTCAGTGGGGATGGGGAGGGGGGGGCTTGGCTGCCCCGGGAGAAGAGGCATGAAAATAGAACCTAAAATAAAGCCCAGGCTCTTCAATCTCGTTCCCTTTGTGTGCCGTGGTGCTGGAATATCCTGCTGGCTTTGGCTGCTGCTCCCAGCCTGTTTCTCTGGTGTCACAAGCCAACAGAAAACTTGGATGCCACGGAATGAATTCCCAGCACCGGCTTTGTGGTGGGGCCGATCCCGGGGAGTGCAATGGGAAGGTGCAGCAGATCCATCTCTTTTTTGGCTGCCCACAGGTGCATTTTGCACCCCCTTGTGTTTGCTGCCCCCCCACAGTGCTCTCTTCCTTTTGTATCCATGCTTTTCCCACCCCCTGCTCTCCCCCACACGGGCGGGAGCGTCGCGGGGAGCAGGGAAGGGTTTCACGCCCTGCCCAGCACCTCGGGATGCCCATCCCGAGGGAGACAGGCAGATCCCGACCATTCCTGGCTCCAGCCCTGAGTGCTGGTGGCGTTCCTGCCCCTCTGGCTGTGCCAGCTGGTGGGTGGCAGGGGCGGCACTGAGCGAGGAGGGATTGGGAGCGTCGGAGCGTGGCGGGGAGTCTGTCACACATCACAGCACGGGGGGAAAAAAAAAAATCACTCCCTCTCTCTGCACAAGGTGAAATTTTTTCGTACCTGGCTGCTCGTTTTGTGAGCAGCTGCTTGCTTTTAATTACACGGTGCCTACTCCTCCTCCTCTAAGGCCCCGCTGAACGGCGACCTCCTGTCAGGGGGGTGATGCAGGGTGCTGCCCTTCCAGGATCCTGGGCAATCCATGCCTCCAGAGTGAAGCCAACCACCCCCTGGGAGGGCCCAGCAGTGAAGTCACAGTGGTTCCATCACGTTTTTGGCTTCGCCTTCCTTGTTTCCTGCTCGTGCTCACACCCTACAGCAGTGAGGTGACATCTCAGGAGCCAGGAATGGGGGCTGCTCGTGGAGCCTCATCCCTATGCACTTATCCCTTATCCCAGCCTGGCTTTCCCTGCCTGGATTTGCCCCCCCCTGAGCCCCCACAGCACAGTGGGGAACAAATCCAGGCAGGTTGCTCTGGGGAGAGGAGAGGTGTTAAACATAGCTCTCCAAAAGCAGGGGGGGGAGAGGGGGTGCAGCAGTTGTTAGACATCACTTTTGATCTCCTGAGAGCATTTTCTTCTCCATTCACAGCGAGGTTTGAGCTTTCTCCTGGGGATCAATTTGTGCACTTTCATGTTATGTGGTGGTTTAAGTGGGAGAGGAGGAGAAGATGGGAGGACTGCTAAGGTGGACCTGTTTTTCCCTAGATTGGGCCCTTGCTAAGATTAGATCCTGAAGCTTCCATTGCTCTCTGCCTCACATCTCCCAGGACTGTCCTTCTGGGATGCAGCTGCTCTGTTTAATGCTTTGTGTGAAGCACAGAGAGAGAGAAAGGACATCAGGAGGCACAAAGCTGGCTGAGGCACCCAGGGGACAAGAAATCTCCCTGCACAGAGCCCCAGAGGACCTTGCAGGGCACTGGCAGGGCCTGGAAAAGGTTGGCCAAGGATGGTGTGGTGGCTTTGCCGAGTGCTGGTGTTGGACCTGCTGCAGCTGGGGAGGAACTGTGGTTCCCCCCAGGCATCCAGGGGCTGCTGCAGCCCCCCTTCCCTCTCCAGGCTCTCTAATCTCCCCAGATTGTAAACACTGCTTTGCACAGCAGGCAGGTGGGAGCAGGTTAAAACCTCCCAGGTATTTTTTTCCCTCGCCTCCCTCCCTCCCTGCGTGGGCAGGTCCCCGCTCTTGGCTCGTGCTCCGTGGTGGGTTTTGGGGGTCTGTGTGTGCTGGGGTGTGCAGGGAGGGCAGCAGGACCCTGCTGACAGGGCTGGCTGCTGGCTCACATCCCGCGTGGAGCGTGTATCCAAACTGTCCCTGTGCCCAGTGGGGGCTGATGAATCCTGCAGTGACTGGGAGCCGTGACAGTCTGCCCAGAGCTGCTCTCACAGGGGCTCCTGACAGATTAATGAGAGCCTTTTTAGATGATGTTTGGTTTGCAAGAGTGAATTTGATGGTTTTAGAACCCAGAACATGGAGATGCCTCCAACTCCTCCCTTC